CCTTGGCAGCAAATTCCACTGTCGAACAGCTCTTACTGTCAGGAAGTTCTTCCTAATGTTTAGGTGGAATCTTCTTTCTTGTAGTTTGGATCCATTGCTCCGTGTCCGCTTCTCTGGAGCAGCAGAAAACAACCTTTCTCCCTCCTCTATGTGACAGCCTTTTATATATTTGAACATGGCTATCATATCACCCCTTAACCTCCTCTTCTCCAGGCTAAACATGCCCAGCTCCCTTAGCCGTTCCTCATAAGGCATCGTTTCCAGGCCTTTGACCATTTTGGTTGCCCTCCTCTGGACACGTTCCAGTTTGTCAGTGTCCTTCTTGAACTGTGGTGCCCAGAACTGGACACAGTACTCCAGGTGAGGTCTGACCAGAGCAGAATACAGTGGCACTATTACTTCCCTTGATCTAGATGCTATACTCCTATTGATGAGGCCCAGAATTGCATTGGCTTTTTTAGCTGCCGCGTCACACTGTTGGCTCATGTCAAGTTTGTGGTCAACCAAGACTCCTAGATCCTTTTCACATGTACTGCTCTCAAGCCAGGTGACATCCATCTTGTATTTGTGCCTCTCATTTTTTTTGCCCAAGTGCAATACTTTACATTTCTCCCTGTTAAAATTCATCTTGTTTGTTTTGGCCCAGTTCTCTAATCTGTCAAGGTCGTTTTGAAGTGTGATCCTGTCCTCTGGGGTGTTAGCCACCCCTCCCAGTTTGGTGTCATCTGCAAATTTGATCAGGATGCCCTTGAGTCCATCATCCAAGTTGTTGATAAAGATGTTGAATAAGACCGGCCCAAGACAGAACCCTGTGGCACCTCACTAGTCACTCTTCTCCAGGATGAAGAGGAACCATTGATGAGCACCCTTTGGGTTCGGTCAGTCAGCCAGTTACAAATCCACTGAGTGGTATAGTCAACTGCATTTTACCAGCTTCTTTACAAGAATATCATGGGGCACCTTGTCAAATGCCTTGCTGAAATCAAGGTAGGCTACATCCACTGCGTTCCCTTCATCTACCTGGCTTGTAATTCTGTCAAAAAACGAGATCAGGTTAGTCTGACATGACTTATTTTTTAGAAATCCATGCTGACTATTGGTGATCACAGCATTCCTTTCTAGGTGCTCACAGACTGTTTGCTTAATGATCTGCTCCAGAATCTTCCCTGGTATTGATGTCAGACTGACTGGGCGGTAATTATTTGGGTCCTCTCTTTTCCCCTTTTTGAAAATAGAGACAACATTTGCCCTCCTCCAGTCTGCCGGGACTTCGCCTGTTCTCCAGGAATTCTCAAAGATGACTGCCAGTGGTTCTGAGATCACATCTGCCAGTTCTTTTAATACTCTTGGATGCAGTTCATCTGGCCCTGGAGACTTGAATACATCTAGACTAGCCAAGTATTCTTGTACAAGAAATTGAGTCCTAGTATGCTTGGCTGCTCCTTTCCGCTGTATAGTAAACTTCAGAAGAGCATGATCACTCGCGCCTAATGATCCTTCCACTTCTACCCCACTAACCAGGTCATCAACATTGGTTAGGACCAGATCTAAAATGGCTGTTCCTCTTGTTGCTTCTCCCACTTTCTGGACAATGAAGTTGTCTGCAAGGCCAGTGAGGAATCTGTTTGACCTTATGCTCTTGGCTGAGTTTGACATCCAACAAATATCCGGGTAATTGAAGTCCCCCATTACTACTATCTCCCTTCCTTTTGCATGCTTGGCCATCTGTTCCAGGAAGGCATCATCTATGTCCTCCGTTTGGCTTGGGGATCTATAGTAAACTCCCACAATGAGGTCACTGTTATTCTTCTCTCCCTTAATTTTGACCCAAATGCTCTCACTTTGGCTTTGAGGTTCTAAATCTTGGATCTCGCCACTCCTCCTCCTTTCTTGTCTGGTCTGTTTCTCTGAAATAGATTGTATCCCTCCATTATTACATTCCAATCGTGGGACTTATCCCACCAGGTTTCAGTGATGCCTATTATGTCATATTTAGTTTGCTGTACCAAGAGCTCAAGCTCATCTTGTTTATTTCCCATGCTTTGCGCATTAGTGTACAGACATTGAAGTCCATTAATCTGTCCCCGTGTCTCTTATTTAAGGATTTTTTCCTCCCACCACTAGGTCTGCGTGCTGTTTGCTCCATTTGGTCTATGACATTTGGATGATCATCTTCATCAGTTGATAGACTCCTACCTTCAGGAGCACTGTCTCCTGAATGACACTGCCATGTCATTATAGTAATCTCCCAGACCATGAATTGTCTTGTTTTAGGCAAGAAGAATGCTATTTTACTTAAGATTGATTTATAGGCCATGAATTTTATTCACAAAAGCTGAAAAGAAGAGTTTAAATATGCATGAATGGACAAGATTTTTATTCAATGCCAATGTTAAAAAACAGATGGCATAACTTAGCATTAAATCTTCGTGGAACTTTTCTGTCTCTCTGCACGGGAAAGGGTTACAGGATGCAACTGTACTCTACTATTAGTACAATAAGGACTGCATACCTTGTTCCATGAACAATTACTGCACTCCCTGTTCTCTTTTAAACTCCATCTTTGAAGGGTAAAAACTTAACTACTATTTACTAGTCTGAGCACAATGATGCCCATTCTGACCAAGATTACTGGGCATGACAAGCAGTCATTTTATGTTAGCTATGCTGTGAAAAACTGGAGATTTGACAGAGGACTTAGAAGCCAAGGTACTGGACAGCCAAGGTCACCCAATGTATTTCTCAAACCCAGTCAGTGTTCTCAGCTCTTAGCACAAGGATCTCCAATCCTATCCATGTGATTAATAACCCAGGGTAACTGAGCAACCTTTGAATAACCCCAATATGTCTAACACAAAGCATGATTTTTCAGGAGCTATAAATCAATGGGTTTAACAGAAAAATCCATGGTTGTTTTGGTTTGGTTTTGCTAGAACATAAAGGATTAGTTGTTATGAATGGCAGTTTCACCATCTAGTTGAAGAGCTTATGGTATTCACAACAGAAACAGAACTTGTTTAATTTGAAGTAAGTTCTGTAATTCTAACTGGCATCTACATCTGACTAGCACATGGTTCCAATACAGCACTCAAGTAGGACCGAAACACTGGAGTATTAAAAGGCTTTATTATTTCTGTCTTTTGCCTCAGTTTCCCCAGCTGCCTCTTCAAGGTCTGTGCAGCTGCACTTCATTAGCATCAAACCTAAAGATAGACAACGCTACACACAATATCAAGATGAACTTTATTTAACTTCAGAAAAGGTCAGAATTCAGAAACCTACCTACTTGACCACTTTAAAGAAAAATGCTGTTGAGCAAACATTCCACCCGACAATAAAATCTAAAGCTCTCCAGAAAGACAGTATCAAGAGGAAATAAAATGCAGGCATTCACAGAAGATGCAGGGCCTCTCTTCAGTTCATCGTGAGAAGGGTTATAAGGATGTACCTTCTTTTATCCCACCCACTGGAATATATCTTTTTATTACAGAAGAATGAAATACACTTACATTTCCTGGAAGGTGGTTCAAATCTAATGAGGATGGCCACTATACTGTTGTAGTGCAACATTTTAGTCATTGTATGCTCTCTCAGGTTGGTTCTTTGGGGACATAAGTTCAAAGGCCATTCTCTGCCAGGCTGGGAGTCTAGGTTCATTGATTTCAATAAGTCTACTATGAGTATACTACATTTTAAGTAAGTGCCCACGGCTCAGAGCTGAGGTAGAGCCATGTACATCATGAGAACCAGGCCCTCTGCTATACAGTGCTAGCAGCTGGAAATTGCCTCTTGAACTAAAGACAGATTGCTATTGACACTAGAGAAGCATTCCTTCAAGTCTGGTTCAATTTGCCATGAGATGCACAGCAAAAGGAAGTGTCAGTCAATGGAGCCTAGTTTCCCTATGCACTCAGCACCTATTTGGTTAGTCTTTATTACTTCTTTATGACACACAAAAATGAAAAACAAAAAAGGGATAACTGATGTGTAAAAGCACTTCAAACAAAACTCAGCTTTACAACTGGCAGTCCTAAAAGTTGGCTATTCATTAACGCTTCTTACTGAGCTTCAGGCCTCCAGCAGTGTAGGATACTGGAAATGTGTGCCAGATTTATTTAGTGGCTGTCTTGAATGTTAACAGTTGTTCTGTAACTCAGTGCAGAACTTTGATGTTAAGTCTCTGAAGGTCTAGGTCTGGCTTATGTCAAGTCAATTATAGTTGTAGAATTGTTCCCTTAAAATGACTTAAAGGGGGGGAAACCCATAAGTAAAAATGAGTTCTGCATTATCTATTACTAAGAACTGAATGGATGGGCCATACTAGTAGAAAAGGAATTGTCTTGGAGCCATGATGCACAGGGCAGAGAGCAACAAAGGAAACAAAGTCTTCAATGCAACGTTCTTTAATAAAAATAGTTTTGGTAGAATGTCAGGGTATACAATTAATTAATCAAAATCTGAAATACCTTATTTGCTAACTGGCCATTTTGTTGGTGAATAGGGTTTTAACTTATTTAAGTATTTTGGATATTTCTCAAATGATTATATTGAATCTGAATAGGTTCATGAAGGAGGTTTTCAGTGATTTGAAACAATGGGCATCACAATGGGGTAAGGTTAATATGCTTAAGATTAATATATTGTCATGAATAATATATACAGATGTGCAATATGCTGTCCTTTTACAAAAGCCTGACAGTCAGATTTTCAAAATACCTTGTTGTTCTCATTATAAGTATTAAAACATGAGTTTTTCATCCCAGTAGAGAGTTATCTCTACATCTACATGTAGATCTACATTTAAGATTTGAATCTGGGTATTCTAGTACCAAAGTCCTGTCCAAATATTTTGAACAGCTGAAACCCTATAATCCAGATGGAGTAAACTTGTTGCCCTCATAATGTTCATAGAATCACAGAATCATAGAGTTCAACCATAGAGTTGAAAGGGATCCTGTGGATCATCTAGTCCAACCCCCTGCAAGGCAGGAATATGCAACTGTCCTATACAGGGACTGAACCTGCAACCTTAGCATTATCAGTACCACGTTCTAACTAACTGAGCTATTCAGGCAGGCAGGATGACTCCAGTTCCTATCAGACCCAGACAGCACAGTCAATGATCAGGGATGACAGGAGATGAAGTCCAACAACATCCAAGGGCCACAGGATTCCTATGGCTACACCTGAACATATTTAATATAGATGTAAACCTCACATGGATACCATCTGAAAGGCTCATATCAACTTAAATTCAGTGTAAGATTCATCTACCAATGGTCACTGTATCTGAAATGTGAACTGATAGTGGTTTACTGTTATTATTAATATTAGTTGTATTTTAGAATTATTAACCTATTTAGTACAAAGATAAGCTGCTCAAATAAGCCATTTTCAGCGCTCTATACATGCACCAAATTTCTGCCTTCTAACCAATCCCTCAAACTGTTTTTTAAATTTTAAAGTTCAAATAGGAGGCATGGGAATCAGTAGACGCAAATAGAGTAGACATAGAGAGGGGGCAAAAACATGCATATGCATTGGTATCATTTCCTCTCTAAAATATTTTCCTTTAGAAGCATTTTTGGATTGTGGAATATTTAGAGACACACTTCTGCTTTTGCAGTGGGGCAACCTTCTGCAAGGGAAACTTAAAAGAGGATGTCGTTGTTCATCCCCCTGCATCCTTACAATAGGGTTTAAAAAGTACAGTAAGATTTTACTTTTACTTTTGCAGGGAGGCAACTAAGAACAAATTTGGCACCTTGGTAGTAGCTACTAACAGACACTTAACTAAGTTAACAATCTGATCTCCCACTGCCATGGCATATCATTTGTGAGAAAACAACTTGAATCCTGTTCACGCAATTTGTCAATAAGAGTTTTATTCTCTTCCTAATAATGTATTATAGGAGTACACGTATGAGATAATTAATTCAAGCATTCATGCCCACTCTGTATGGTCAAACTATCCTTTTTGCTAGCTTCTCTTCCCAGCCAACTGTCTCCTCCCTACAATTCAGATCTTCAAGGCTCATGATTTAATATCTAGTCTTTCAATCATGGAGTGGAAAATGGAACTAAATGCCCTGCAGTCCATTATGCTGCTGAAAGAAAATACTATACATACACCAGCTCTACATAGTCAGAGAAAGCAGGTGCACTGCAAAGAAACACTAGCAGAGCAAAGTGTCAAGATTCATTTGAAGCAAACAAGTCAAACCATGGGGAAAGACCAGCAAAAGGAAAATCAGCGTGACGGCTCAATTAGCTCTAGAAGAACCTTCCTACACATCTCCTAATACGGCAGTCAGAGCATGAGGAAAACCTGTTTTTCCCTTTCTGTATACTTTACCCTGCTGCATGAACAGCAATAACTTCATGCAAACGCCAACTGTCTGAGAGACTGACTCACATGCAGAGAGCTAAGAAGAATGCTGGAAGTTGTACGAAGACTGAATCACCTTAGAATATACATGCAATTGATTTCTATTACAGGTTTATTTTGTGAAGATGTAAAGTTATCTCAACGGGCATACTAATTACCTAAGTGAACAAGCTTCGGTCCCACATACAAAAAAAAAGCCTTTCATGGATTTTGAGGCATACTTTTTTGAAATGAACTAGTGCTTGTATAAGACAAAACTAGTGAAAGGTGTGTAGGTGATGGAAGCCTGATTAACTTGTTTACTGTTTCAGTACAACAAGAGCTCTCCAGAGTATGAAGGAGTGATTTAATTGCTTAACAATAGATCCTAATAAGCAGTTTAATTGACAGATGAGGAAAATTGCCCAATTAAGCAATCAAGTGTACAGAAAGGAGCCTCTCTCTCTATATGGCGCCTTTACATGCCTGTCGCCCAGTGTTTCTCAAACTGGAATTGCAGAAAAGGGATGAGGGAGGTCACAAATCCCTTCCTGACACCTAAAGAGCCACAAAGGAGAACAAAAGTGAGAGTGGGGAAGCTGGATGAGAGATGTGAAGCACTGCAAAAGTGGGTTCAAGTGAAGAAGTAGTGCAAGAGATGAGAAAGCTAAGCAGGAATCCCCATGGATGATAAATAAAATAGAAGATCTTTGCTTAGCCATTAATACATGAGCCCCTGACATAAGGAATGGCACTAGGAAAGGTGCATTACAACTTTAAACAAAATCTTTAAAGTTGCCATTGACCCCATAGTTTCTCAGGAAGTTAATCCTTAACCAAAATTACCTTAAAATGTTCTTTGTGACTCCAAATGCATGAAAATGCTATGCAATTACTTATAATTTTTTCTCAAAATGACCCACTTACACATCAAGTTTTAAGACATGCATCATAAAATAGGTAGTCAGCATTATGTTTAGTTACAGCTAAGATGTACTGCAGAGCTGTTACTAAATTTAAATATATAGCTACTTCCCAGTTTTCTTCTTTGGAAGCACAGTAAGTTACAATCATAAGAGCATCTAACAGGCTTTTATGTTGTGGTAAATACCAAGATAATTTTCAGTGTACCAGATCACAATTAATTGTCTGCCACTAATAATGCAGACTCACTAAAGTCAGCTTGCTTTAAAATCAAAGTGAAATCTAAACAAGGAATAGAGACAAGGGGAAATTCACCAGTTTCTCTGGCTCATTATTCAGGTAGCAAATGAATTCCCATAAATGCTAACCCAGTTCCCTACACTTTGCTGACTGCTGATATGTAAAGAAACATCTGGAATTTTTGATAGCACATATTCATTGCAGCTGCTTTAGATTATTATATCATCTTCCTACTATTTCTCACCTACAATATGATACAGTAGTGTTAATATCAGACTTGCATTTGTATGACGTCTCTGCTGGTCATGGCAACACAAGTATGAAATGTTTCTATGTGCCATTAAGTAATCAGAAATGGCAAGAATGTTCAAATTGACTCATGCTACATTTTTATTAAAAAAAGAAAAGAAATAAGAGTGATTCAGGAAAACTCACAAAGAATTTGTGTTCAGAAGGTTTTAATACTTTCTTACAAACAGGAACTCTTGACACTTTGAAAAATAATGCCAGCTAGAACTATGGATATCATCAGTATCTCTCACAAAAAGGCTATTTTCTGGACCTTTAAAGTACTACATGTCATAATATTCTATCAGCCCTTTACAAATAAAACAGATGTCCAAACTTCAAAATGCTAGCAATATTGTGAAATATAAGAAGCACACAGCAGTTTAGCAAGCTGTTCAGGTTTTGCCTCATTTTCATTTCAAAGCCTATGCCCTCCTAGTAAAAATATTCAGCAAATGCAGTTCCTGTTGACTGTGAAGAGATAGGAAGCAAATTCAAGTGATTTAATTATAATCCCTGAATCAGTAACTATAGCAAGATGAGAAGACCCTACATAACTATACTGTTGAAGGCTCCTTCTACAGAAAAGCTTTGCCAAGGCTTTATTTCACAGGGACACCTTCAGAAGAGAAATGAATCACACAGAAAGACTCAAGTGGGGAAAGGCACAAGTAATCTGTGAACATAATCAGCCCTTAGCAAGTTACAATATAACACAAAAATGAAAAGCTCTTTGCTTACTCTGAGTGTCTTTGCAATCGGGGAAGGAGACGATGGGGGAGAATCAGACTGAGACTTTCTGTTTCGAGTAAACTCCTTACTCCTGGTATACAAGGACGACATGGTCCATTCAGGGTTGTGGCAAGGCAACAGGTCACCTCTCAGTAGCAACAAGATCCAACTCTTCACCTCTTTCTCACTATGTGCAGCTGGGTGGTGCCTTCTAAAGCAAGAAGAAACTAGTTTGACAATTATAGTATTTTAGCCAGTGTTCAAAGTTACAAGTTTCTAGGCACCAGGCTGACGACTGCAGAAACAAATGTCACAGTGGGCTGTTCTCCATAATGCTTTAATCATGACAAGACAGACCCCCAGGAGCTTCTGCTGGCAGAGGACAGTGCTAGAGCATGTCACTGTCAGGTCTGAAACCTGCCTTCAGGTCTTCCAAAAGATTTTCTGCTATTCAGAGCTTTCACGCAGCTAAGCCAGACTATTTCCAAACAACCGATGATGGCACGAAATCCGGTAACAAAATTGGCAAAAGTCTAAAGATTACTAGTTTATCCAGCTAGGAAGACGCCTTAGCAGAAAAGTTTTTAAATCCACAGCCTTGTCGAGGCAGATCTCTGTTGCTGGAGCAGGGCTGCATCATTAGGGAGAAAGTACAAATAAGGAACAAATGCTGCTACAGAAAGGGGCAGTCCAGATGAAACTGTGTTTTGTTCCATGCTCCAAGTTAGGAACGCCTTCACACACTTCTATCTACCCTCCCCTCTTGCTATTTTCTGACATTCCAAATCCTTACTTGCTCAGTGAGGAATGCTGGAGGGAGGCCAAAGGCATAGATTCACTTTCAACTTGGGATTTGGGCTGCTACTTGTAGGAGAAAGAAAGCTGAAAGTTCCTAAAGCCCAGATGGCTTCGAAGTATGAGGTCAGAGCACAATTCAGTCAGCTTGCTTGCAAGGTCTAAGTTCCAGCCACTAGTTTTTCTAGCATGTTTGGGTGATTTAGGGCTTCTTCTTTAGCAAGGTGTTTTTTTGTTTTTTTCCCCACATTTTAGGCCACTGCCAGGCAGTCAAAATTTGTGGAGAAGAAAGTTAAAAATCTCTTAAAAGTTTGAATTCTAAGTAAAAATGAACATGTTGCTAGATAGGTGTGCCCAAGCAAACTCTAATTTCCTTTTAACTCTATCATACATTGGGTTCACTTGTGCTGAATGTATAACAAGTACACTGAAAAGCTAATTAGTACAAGCTGTAAAGCTAATGCTAAATAGGTTTGGGTGTGATACATTTTGTATCTCATACACAATCTATGCACTATTCTTTCGGATTCCAACAGCATTCAAAAGCAAACCTAAAATAAAGTTTGCCTTTAGCAAATTAGCACTCAAGAATACCAGGGATAATTATTTAGTTCTCAGAACACTTGAATAATCTCCAAGTCAAAATACAATTGAGAACAGGAAAATATCACTTAGCATTATAATGACTGTGCTTAACAAATATCATACAGGTACTTAACTGGGAAAAT